AATGTATTGCCGTGGGAAGGAACCCGAGCATCTCGAAGAAGCCTAGTGAACTAGCTGGGGAGTGGGGTTTTCCGAGATTCCGAGGGATTGGGGGCAGTCTTCTTCCACCGTAACCTACAGTATCTATGCGCCAAAATGGGAGGATGGTAATCATAATTGCGCAGCTGTTTAGATTTCAAAGAAAAAAAAGGGGAAGAGAGAATTCCGCACCTAAGTTTGCTCCTGTGCCAGCAAAACGTTTTAAACTGGAGCAAAAAAATCAATGAAAAACTTGAGTGAGCGTGGAACTCACCTGCTTTCGTAGGTTCTGCAAGTAATGCTTGAGATCGCCGAAGGGTACATATTCCATCACCATACATTGAAAGTCCGGCTCTTCACAGAGCCCATACATCGCCACGATATTTGGGTGACGACCAACCTGAAAAGAGATGCTGCAGTCGAAGGCTTGGGTTACTATTTGGCACATTGCCCAACCTGTTTCATGATGTCCATTTCGCGTAAAAATTCCTCGCGCTCTTCATCGATAGCGTTCGTCTTCAACTGTTTGATCGCCACCCGAACCGCCATCCCTTTTGGACCGCTCATTGTGCCTTTACAGACCAGACCGAATGCACCCTCTCCTGAAAAGTTCTTGAGTAATGAAACAAGAAAGGCTAAGCGCTTAGTGGCTGTCACTAATGAAGTTCAGAAGAGAAAGTTATCCTGAAAATTCATCATTCAAACATTGGGAGAGCGATTTTTCTCAGAAACTTAACTTTTTCAAAAACGGCATGAAAGCTCGAAGGATGAGGCTTCCCTCGTTAATCTGTCCTTTTCTGGGATGCGCTACGTATTCTACTTCTCTTCAGAGCCGTGGTAAGATTTTGAAGGAGATATGGTATATACTATGATTATTACGTGTCAGTCGGTGTACAATTCACTGTTTTCAACCTTCAAGACGAAGTCTGGTGTGGTTGGCTCTGAGAGGAGCCGACCAGAAGGTGGACCCTCGCACCGTGCGCTTGACAAGCGTCAACACTTGCCACTTTGCCGTCTTCGCCCGCATTCATTGGCACAAACCTATTATATTAGGTTGTCCCAAAAGTTCGTGGACATTTTTTGAATCTCGTATCAGATCTTTCCGCAGCCATTTCGAGATCCAGTTATGTGGTCTATGGGAAGTGTGAGGTAAGCATCCCACAGCTTCTTCACCGTCCCTCGCAGTCGCTGTTCTCATATGAAAAACGGTAATTGAAATTCATCATTTTCGACACACTTTCGCTATATGAATCTCTACCAAGCCACAACGTGGTTGGAGCCATAAGCGGCATTTCCCTTATTTAGATCTTGATGTTACCTTCCACAGTACGGCTTTGGAATGGCCCAATTGCTTCCGCTTTAGTGACTTCTATCTGGGTGAAAAACTTCGTCCAAGGAGGCCACCTGCCTTGGATTTGGACTTACTGTTTTCCCTGATTATCCGCACAAAATCAACTCGCTATCTAGTCCTTACACTTGACTGGTCCCAAAGCACAAATGAGAGGCCTCGCTCCCTTAGAAAAGTTCTGAAGTTCGGTCAAAATTTTTCTCATGAGTTGACCAGTACTCCAAGGGGAGCACATGTGGGTACTGTCTACAACTTCTCTCCCGCTTCCGCTGTACGGCTGGTTGAACAGCACTGTAACTGGATATGGAGTGGGTGCCTCTAGGTGAATCACTCCCAGGAGCGCCAGCGGCTAGATCCCCCAGAAAGGGCAGAACCGATCGCGCAATCCTATCAATCCAGTAGGCGGTGAGACTGTGTATGTGGTGGGGTTTCTTTCTCCCTTCCCATAACGGAATTTCTTCTTCTCAGCGCTGTGGTAACCTACGAACCCTAATGTAATTGACTGCAAGTGGAAAATCGTTAACACTTCCTTTCGCCCGCATCTGAGCAATGTGTGCTAGTTCACAACAGCTCAGGTCCACGAGCATTTGAAAACTGACACTGCTCGACGATCCCAGAAGCGTCAGCTCGGGGCCATTTCCACGAACAGCTTCGATTAGTTCTGACTTAGCTTTTCCGATCGCCATCTAAACTAATCCCACAGCGGCCATCTAAAAATACGATTTTTGATAGTACCTCAAAAATGACCCAGCTGCCTTTCTGGGCACAGAACCAAGAGGCTTCTGGAAGCAGGGCAACCACACATTGCGTAGTGATTGGCAACAAGTTGCCAATGAAGGTGACATATATATAGTTGATCAAAATTGCTTCCCACTGGAATAAACTTAACTCGAAAAAATGTTCGAAAGTTCCACGAACTTTTGGGACAACCTAATAAATGAAGCTAATTATGCGGCTCATAGGGAACGGTCGGGGTAGTTCGGTGACGGGGGAGGGCATGTTCCTTTGCTACTTTGCTACTTCCGATCGACGTGTCGATCCATCTAGTGTGCTATTTCGTGAGCTTACAAGAGTTGACAGGTTTACCATGGTGGCTCGACGAGCTTGCTCCAGCTTCACAAGAGTTCACAGGTTTCACCAGAGTGAGACTTGTAAACCGGAACTAGTGAAGCAGCGAAAGTGCAAAATGCCCCCCCCCCACCCTTCCTCATCCCCACTTTGAAGGGTCTAGAACTTCTTTCTCTACCGAGACGATACATCGAACAGAACATAACATCGGAACATGCTGGCTTGAGATCTTAGAAGAACTATCTCTTAGAAAAAATCTTATCGTCAGCATCTCCACTTCATCCGGGAATGGAGCAGGTTTGGCGCAAGTTCTGGTTTTTTTTACTGTCATTTGTTTTTGACCTGCAGTGCAGAACACCTTTATGGGGTCCAACCAGATTCAGGTAGTTCTCACCTATTACACCGCCAACGCTGACATCATCACTAGGAATGAGCCATTCCTCTTCCGTCTGCGGAGTTCGGAACTCAATAGGCTGGCGGTAGAGAATATTCGTCTCCAGAATGGAATGCCTGAAACAAGTAGTTCGAGAATGAAAGTTGCTGAGAAATTCAGTTCCCACTGGGAGAACTTACCTTGAATGTGACAGCGTCCAC